TCTCTCTCTCTCTCTCTCTCTCTCTCTCTCTCTCTCTATCCTCTTCTCACAAGGTAAGAGTCAGACGAAAGATAAACAGGACAGAAGGAAGAAAAAAACAGAAGTGAAAGAAAAGAAGGACTTAAAGGAGAAGAGACAGAAAGACACAACAAACATTGTTAAAAATCAAAATTCACATGAAACATGGAACGAAATTAATCTACAATAAAACAGGAACTTTGAATAAAATAATTTATTGAATAATGAGCTACCTATAATGATCATACATAACTAACGCACAATCTGTATATCTACCAATTCGTCATCCTCCATTCACAAAATCTCAGGATTAGAAAAATACAAATCGAAGACACAGGACAAAACAAGACATGAACTTTGCCGTGCCAAGGCAGAGCGGCGTATCTGCACTTTTTATGATTTTGAGTTACGTCCAGCTGCCATTGGAAATATGGACATGACCCTTCAGATACGTCTGTTTGCCACAGTGAAATCTCCTATTTGTAGTGCAGATACGTCTGTTTGCCACAGTGAAATCTCCTATTTGTAGTGCAGATACGTCTGTTTGCCACAGTGAAATATCCTATTTGTAGTGCAGATACGTCTTCCTGCCTTTGACACAAGATGCAGAATGGGTATAGGCGCCCATTTAAACGAAGATACAAAAATTAATAATTTTTGCAGATACGTCGGTCTGCCTTGGCACGGCAGAACTGCTGTAAGTATTTCCATGACCTCTGACTTGTCACAACATGAATATGCATATATGGCATAGCACATCTTTTTTTCTGTCCTTTAAGAAGAATAAAATGAAATAAGAGATGAAGAGAATAATATATGAACTTACAAAAGACTGAATGATTGAATGAAGGAATGAATGAATGAAGGAAAGAATGAATGAAGGAAAGAATGAATGAATGAATGAATGATTGAATGAAGGAATGAATGAAAGACTGAATGAATGAATGAATGAATGAATGAATGAATGAATGAATGAATGAATGAATGAATGAATAAATGAATGAAGGAATGAATGAAGGAATGAATGAAAGACTGAATGAATGAATGAATGAATGAATGAATGAATGAATGAATGAATGAATGAATGAATGAATGAATACAATGAACTACAGTTTCCCCAGACAAAAACAGGAACCAAACACCAACAAATTATACACAAACAACATAACAAAAACAAGAGCAAATCACAATAGTGTCCTTTCTCTCGTCTCCTTTTTAAAAAAATGTAAACCTGCATTTGTTTTTACCGTCCTGTACAGCCAAGAAAAATTTCCCTCTGGGATAATAAAGTATTATCTTATCTTATCTTATCTTCTTCCCTTCTGACTACTTGCATTAACCTGACCACTCACAGTTCTGATCCGAGGACAGATCAAACAGCCGATAAACTGTTGAGTGTGAGGAATATCTACCGTCAAATGTGGCTCCCACAAACAACAGAAGACGCAAAACTTTCTAACCTCTTCAGCTGTTGCAGTAACAGCTTTTACTTTGATCAGCACCTCTCAATTTTTACATCTTTTTAACACTTTACGGTCACTTGGCGCAATAATGCGACGGGGAAAGTTATCCGCTCTGGTCACCTGAAGCAGTTCTGCGCAGGCCCGAAGAGTCTGTTGCAGTCACTCTCCTGGCTGGGTGACCAGATGGGGTATTTTGTACTGCTGGCTGTGCGACTGCAAAGTGGTGATGGTCAATTAATCTTTGTTGCATATAACAAACTCTATAACAAACTTTGATTTGTTCTGAGGTCAACTTTTCTCACTATTTGGTCAGTGTATGGTCTAGCTCACCCACCCAGACAGGTCAGAACCGCTCTAAAAAACTACAGTAGACACATGAGCCTCATCAGCTGAAACAGCGATCATCAATTATAACATTTGTACAGCACAAACTCCCACTCAACAGCAAACTCTATGGACATTACAATCTATATCATTACCCCCCGCAGACTTGTATAACAATAACATTGTGAGGGAAACCACATCAACGTCCAGGGACACATGCAACAAAGGTTTACTCTTCATCCCGACACATGCCATAATTCACAACTGGAAAAAAAAGATTTACGCTCATTGGACGGATTTCTGAGAAGATATCACCGCGGATCGGCACAGAACACAAAACACACCACCGTGTAAACGACACACTGCGGTGTCTGATGGGGACAAAGTACGACCACACCCAGCCACTGTATCATACACTGTACCACATAGAGACTTGGAGTATGCATCATTCACTCACTCACCACACACAAACCACAGACACAGACTCTGAGTATACTTGACTCCCACACTCACTCACTCACACACCCACCCCACCACACACTCACTCACACACCCATCCCACCACACACTCACTCACACACCCACCCCACCACACACAAACCACAGACACACACATTGAGTACACTTGACTCACTCACTCACACACTCACTCACCCCACCACACACAGCCACTTTATCATACACAGAACCACACAAGGATTTGACACAGAAGAAAACACTTCTCTCAAATACCGGTATTCACATCAAACCTAATCTCAGCCACTGTTGACCAGCACAACAGCTTCAGATCTCTGAATCAAACAAAACTATAAAAAAGATAACAACATTTTGTTACAAGAAGCTCAGAAACAGATCAACCTACAAGTAACAAGACAACCTTTTGCTCATCACAAACGATACAAGGCCAGAGAAAAAGTGAGAAAGTTCTTGCACAGAAAACTCTCTAACATCACAATAAAATAATTTAGTGTATCTAAAGAGTATCACCTGCAAACAGGAAACTCTTGCTGCATTCTAAAAATATTCAGGGGGATTTCCTGTGTACGGAGTGCAGAAAGGCTGAAAGAACAAACAAACACATCAAAGTAGGTCTGTGTCGTACCACAACACTAGGCACGTGTCACGCCATCACGTACAAGCTCAGTGCTTTCTTGTCCTATCTCCATTATCTTTAACAGTGAAAATGTGACGTCTCCTTAAGCTCACTCTTTGTTATGAACTGTTTTCACTGTTATTAAAAATGGAGATAGGACAAGAAAGCACTGAGGTGGCGACATACGACCATCACATCACAACACAGCGTAAGGCACAGAATGGCGTCTGCTAGCGTAGCATTAGTTTCTACCAGAGTAAATAAATAGTTTCACTGAGGGTACACATAACCACACCCATACTCCCCACAGGCTCACCTCACAAACACGCGCCAAAACTCTAAAAGTTCCTGGTGACCGCATCCCATGGCAAAATTGGGACATAGTGAAAAAATGTCCCCATGTGCATGCTTGTAAAACGTTTCCATCACACATCCAAGGCTAGGCACACTCGGCCACACAAGAATCAAACACTCTGAGATATACAGCACACCTACAATAGTAAAAACTTCCTCAAAGTTTTTATCCCCCTGACAAATGGTCGATTTTAAGGACAAGCGGGCTAACCCAGATTTCAGGGGGTTACCAAAAATCTTGACCTACACCAAAAGTGGGCATTGCCCTACCCATAGGAGAAGTTTGGTTTCGTTGGTGTGTATATTTGTTTGGTTATAGAGAAAACTCTCCTTGTCTTTTAAAGAAACAGAACAAGGGGCAAAAACTTTACCTTGGAATTTCTCAAAACAGCATTTTTTCAGGATAGCCCCCTTGTGCGCGCTCACATGACCTTATGCAGTTGCAAGCGCCGTAAAACCTCTACTATTAAAAAAAAAGCCCCCTTGTGATTAAAAGTGACCAAATATGAGAAGTTTTTCGGAATGTTCGCATGGCAGACCAACCAATCACACAGTCACTCACAATAGTCGTGTTGTCAAATATATGTCACATCAAGGTGGAAACAGGCGCTCTGCAATTTTTGGGCATATAGACAGAGTTATAATTACTATCACCGTAAGGCTTGCTCATTTGTCTTGCTTTTAATAATTAAAAAATGTTCATCTATCTGGCATAGAAGCCAAGATATTTGTGATTAAAACACGTTGGGGTTGCCAGGCGTCACAGGTAAAATTAGCGAGAAAATAGCTGCCAAAGTTTGGTGACTTCCAAATCTTAAGTGTCCTTGCGAACTGCAATTTTACTTTTTTTTCTGTCTTTGACCAACATTTTTCAATAAAACCCACAAAGAAGTGTGTTTTCTAATGGACATAAAAGGTTTCGAGCCGGAAAAAAAATTCAATAAAAATTGCCCAAAGAGCGGTAAAATGTCAGTTTCTTCGATTTAATTATTTTGATGAGCACCTGATTTCCCCACATGGATGCCACACACAAAAATCTGGATTATAAGAAGAGTTGCGTCATTGCTATAAATAAACATACACAGAGGCTGAGGTAGCCACAGGGGCCTTGCGAGGCCGGGGCAGAACTGAGGAACGGGTAGAAGAAGTCGTACGGCAGACGTATGGCGAATGTCGGGTACACGCCCTCCACGCCCTCGGGCAGACGCGACACGTCGATGAAGGTCACCGAGCTGCTGATCTCCACTCGCTGGGTCACCGCCGAACTTCCTGGCAGGCAGAACGGACCGGAGCACTGGAGGAATACACAGGGGTACAGGGATGTGAAGGACAGATGGACAGAAGAGGTACAGGGATGTGAGGGAAAGATTAACAGGAGAAGTAAAGTGTTATGAGAGAAAGATAAAAGGAACAAGGAGTGTGAGTGTTTGTGTGTGTGTGTGTGTGTGTGTGTGTGTGTGTGTGTGTGTGTGTGTGTGTGTGTGTGTGTGTGTGTGCGTGTGCGTGCGTGCGTGCGTGCGTGCGTGCGTGCGTGCGTGCGTGCGCGCGCATATTTCAGTGTGTGTGTGAGTGTATGTGTGTGTGTATGTAGTAGTGTATGTGTGTGAGTATACGAGTGTGTGTGTGTGTGTGTGTGTGTGTGTGTGTGTGTGTGTGTGTGTGTGTGTGTGTGTGTGTGTGTGTGTGTATGTGTGTGTGCACACGCGTGTGTGTCTGTGTGTGTGTCTGTGTGTGTCAGGCAGGCATGTAGGTAAGTAGGCAGGTAGGTAGGTAGTTCGTTATTTTTTTTTTATAGTAGAGGTTTTTACGGCGCTCGCAACTGCATAAGGTCATATGAGCGCCAAGGGGTGGATGTCAACAGAGAAGTCTTTACAGGGAATCAGACTTACTCTGCTCACCTCTCTAGCTTCAACAGCACAAGATCTGCTTCCACTATCAAGGCACCCCGGAAATAGTGGGTCACAAGAGAGTGACATACATACAAAAGAAGTAGGGGAAAAGGACAAAAGTAAGGATCATGAAAGAAAAAGCAGCAGTCCCTGTTGTAGATCAGGCACAGTTATGAGCGTGACATGAGTCAGCCCATTTACAATTCTACTGTACTTGAACGAGAAATGTCCCCCCTTTGGGAATGGCCTAAAGACACTTCAGTCAGTGGCACTGCCCCGGGGGGATGGTCGTTAGTTAAAAGGTAGGTAGGAAGATAAAAAGTAGGTAAGTAGGTAGGTAGGTAGGTAGGTAATTAAATAGGTAAATAAATAAGTAACCCCCCCCTGCTCACCTGATATTCCACCTGCTGGGGTTCGTCGTACACAAACGCGGCACCGATGATCATGGGCTGAGGGTTGGCCAGAGAGCCCACGTTGGCGTACAGAATCTGCAGGTTCATGCCCAGGGATAGAAGACACTTGGACCCCGAGCTCTGGACCAGGACAAAGAACAACAGAGAAATTGGCTACAGTAAACACGAGATACAGACAGAGTTGAACATACACATACACACACACAAACATACACACACACACACACAAACATACACACACACAACAACAACAACAACTAATTCTATTGCCCCCTTAACCCATTGGAAATACACAAAAACACACACACACACACACACACACACAGACACACACACACACACACACACACACATACACACACACACACACACACACACACACACACGCACACACACGCACGCACACACATACACACACCCTCCCCCACACCCACCGTAGGTGGCCTGGGTCTGTTACTGCTGTAGAACACGGGCGGCCAATCGTCTGTCTTCTCGGGCTCAGAGTTGCCGAACATAGCCAGGACGAGGCTGGTCTTGGAGTACTCGTTGATGTCTGTGTCGATGGTCGCGGGGAAACCCTCCAGCGCGCTGATCACTTCCTGCTGGAGCAGACGGCACGACTGGTCGATGCCGCTAGCACTTACCCTGGGGATTGGAAAAGAAGGCAGTCTCTGAACCGAACGTTGAACGATGGAAGTGCGTTCCAATTTGGCACCCCCTCACATGGTTCACGATTATAGCTTTCTTTGTTCTGAACTTGGGCCGCACTTCTGGTCATAGTCTGTTTCAAATGACAAATTGTTACCCTTCCAATTAGACTATCAGCTGCTTCACACAAAAGTAGTGTTTTCTGTCTCGGGTGCGAAATTTTCCGTACCGATACTGTCGGCGTTCGGGCTGGGAGAGTTAACTTATCGGGCCCCCTGGAAATATGTGTGCAAGGACTCAACATTTACAGACTAATCTGTCTCGTACATCTCGCATCACGATGGCTCATCTCTAGGCAGGAACAATGTTGACAGTTTCAGAAACCTGGATTTCCAGATTTATCCGGAGTTTAGTTTTAGACAGTTTTACGGCACTCGCAACACAAATAGGTCATATAAGTGCTGAAGATTTGAGGTGTAACTAGAAAGTAACTTTTTTAAAAAGGAGGGGAGACAAGGATGGTAGATGTTTGAAAGGAAAGTGGCAGCAAACCATACTAGAGCACCCGCCAACCACTTCTGCTACACACACACACTCACACAACAACAACAACAACCCATACAATAACAACAACAACACACAACAACAACAACAACAACAACACACAACAACAACAACAACAACTCACTGTATAAAACAACCAGTGCGCATGTCTTCCCCAAACAGCACAGGCTCCCTGGGCTGACCAGCAGCGGTCAAACAGTCCCCGGTCACTGACGGTCGCACCAGGCCCAGGGGTGTCCTCTGTCTACACGCCGCGGTCAAGGAGAGATCACTGTGTACCAACTCGTAGTTTACACGATAGAGTTATTTTTTTTTGGCTCTCCATTAACATCAATGCATAATCACTGCATGCAAAATGAAATGTCTCCGTAAAACCCTTAACATCACAAGACGAGACAGGCAGAGAAATGAAGAAGTAAGAGCAGCTATCGGCACTGAGACCTGCCTGCGTTACATAGAAAGACAGAGGATAAAATGGTTTGGCCACCTGTTACGTATGTCACCTGGTCAGCCAGCCTCGAGAGCCTACAACACCAAGCACTCAGGCTATAAAGGAAGAGGAAGGTGTTAGACTATTAGATTGCTTTTATCAATATACAGAAGGGAAACAATAAATCCTGGATTGTTGGTCCTTATATTAACATGTTGAATTATGTCCCTGTAATTGTAGGCCCTACTTTTATTTATCTACCCTCACAACAAAGATTGTCTGATCTTAGTGATCTTTACTCACTCCTCCTTCCTGTTTCAATCACATGTACTCATGCTCATTATGATTTATTTAGTCTTGTCAGTGAAGCCAGAGAGGGCAGACCTCATATCTTTTTCATCATTAAATTACCCTTCTTCATCTAGAAACGGAGTTTTTACTTTTGCTTTATTAAATACAATAATGGCAAACAACCCCAGTGCAACAGAGGGCCACGCACAAGGTGGATCGAGGGTGTCAAGGAAACCCTGAGAAAACATCACATCACAACTGAAAGAGCTGCGGAGCTGGCCTACCACCATAGACAACTGCATCTCCCCTCGACGTTTAACGGCAACAGAGGATGAACAAGTCAAAGTAAGTAAGTATTAATATCAATGATCACAGTTCTTTAGCTTTAGTGCAAGTTTTGCAGCACTTGCAGCACAGTTAGGTCACAGAAGTGCTGAAGATTCGAGGGGTTACATCATAATAACATACAAAAAAAAGAGGGAGGAGAGATAAGGACGACAGATGTTTGATGGGACAGAAACAGTAAACAACACCAAAGCACCTGCCAACCACCCACAGGATGATTACAATTGCCATGTAAGCCAGACAAGAACATTTCCGTGACCCGCGTGGTGGAAGGATACATGTAGTAGCCGCCGGTCGAGGTCAGGTTGGAGATCCCCGCCAGCACGGGCAGCCCCACGTCATAGCCGGGGTTGCCGCTGCGGGCGACTGGAGCTTCCGTGCTCGTCGATGCCTGGGGAGAGAGAGGATTGGCAGACGTTACAGTGGGCTCTGTGCGGGGTTACAAAACCTGCTGCCAATTGGCTAAGCAAAAATTTAAAAAAAAGAAATCCTGAACTTTTCAGACAAGTACATGTCAACACACCCACATACACACACACACACGCATACACAAACACTCACACACACAGACATACACAAACACTCACATACACACACACGCAAACACTCATATACACACACATGCAAACACTCACATACACAAACACACACACACACACACACACACACACACACATACACACATACACACACACATACACACACATACACACACATACATAAATACACAAACATACACACATACACACACACACACACATACCTACATACACAAACACACACATACATAAATACACAAACATACACACATACACAAACACACACATACATAAATACACAAACATACACACATACACATACACACACATCCACACACACACACTTACATAGAGGCACACACATGAAAAGTCACTGAACGGACACACAAAATTATGAGGGGGGGAAAACGGAAAAACCGTACAGATCTACCAAAAGATTGACATCTCAGAGGTTCCAGAAGGTTCCACACAGCTGAGAGGTGAACTTTCTGCAGAAACAAAGCGACTCACCGTAGAAAAGGAAGTGGAAAACGTCTGCGTGAGACTGTTGTCGGTGATATCGCTGAAGACAAAGCTGACGTATGCGTTGTCGATGCCGAACCGACCTCTGGTCTGGAAGCGGTACCGCACCTGGGAGAGAGAGAAAAAAAGTCCCCAACAATATATTAACCCTTTCTGTATGCCCTGGGGTCATTTTGTACCCCCGGGGTTGTATTCTTCACATTTTAGAATACTTCTAGTGCGAAGATCTCTTTGAAATTTTCAGTATTCCTCAAAAAAATCATTTTGACAGACTGCTATGCAAAGCGTATGGATCGTATTAAGGAGTAAATTTCCTCTTAGGAAAGTGGTGGCACAGATTTCCCCACATCGTATGGATACGATAGTAAAACACGACGTACGGATAGGGTCAATATAGCTAGCTAAGCAGGATTCCACTCTTTAACTCCAATGTCAAGTCTGTGCCCCTCTACGGTTGCGAAACTTGGAAGACAACGAAGACAGTGCTGAATAAAGTCCAGACTTTCATCAACAGACGTACGAGGAGTATTCTAAGAATTAAGTGGCAGGATAGAATAAGAAATGAAGAGCTGTGGGAAAGGACAGGACTAAGAAAGTGGCGATGGATGGGACACACCGTCAGAAAGCCCTGCGGAAACATCACAAGACAGTCATCCATCCACCCGTCCACCCATCCATCTATCCATCCATCCATCTACCCATCCATCCATCTATCCGTCCACCCACCCACCCATCCATCCATCTATCCATCCATCCATTCACCCATCCATCCATCCATCCATCCATCCACCCATTCATCCATCCATCCATCCACCCATCCATCCATCCTTCCATCCATCCATCCACCCACCCATCCATCCATCCACCCATCCATCCATTCATCCATCCATCCATCCACCCATCCATCCATCCATCCACCCATCCATCCATCCATCCACCCACCCATCCAGCACTCACCTCTGTCAAGACGTTCCGACACGTGGCCGATGCGGCGTCATAAGTGGGCATGGCTGGGGGCGTGGCAAACGCGCAGGGCCCCGTGACCCCGCCCACAACACACAGCAAGGGGTCGGTGGGCTCCAGGTCAAAGGTCAGGGTGTAGTTGTTGGTGTAGAGCTCCGTCACGCCGGTCAGG